TTTTCTAAAATACTTGTTTCTTAACTTAAATGTAGTTGAACTATTGACAACATATAATGCTGCTCTTCTTTTTACAATATGATAAAGCTTCTCCCAAGAAATGTTGAAAGACTCAAAGGTGTTCTAGAAACCTGGAGACTGATTTCTAAATCACCCTGGAGTTGCATTTACTTCTTTTGCTGGCACTTATGTCATTAATGAATTCTCAATTTTTCTTTAATTAGGTGTTGTTCAAGTTCAGCAAAAGGTATTGGGTATCATTCCATCAACTACAGGTGCAAGTCAAACATTTACTTCATTCCAGCCAAGGACAGCAACTGTAACCATTAGGCCAAATACCACAGGGACGTTAGGAACAACAAGCACTTCACAAGTAAGATGTTTTTCTGATCGTTTAATGAAAAAAAAAAAAAAGCATATGTCTTTTCAGTTATTGGCAGATATTAAAAGTTCTGTCTAGTCACTTTTCAATGTTTTTGGCTCATCTCAGCAGTAGTGATTATGAATCCTTTGTTCCAAGGAGGTATAGCAGTTCTCTCCAATTGGAAAAAAATAATAGTTTAGAGCTTGGTAAGCCTTAGTGGTGTGGACATAGATGAAAAAATATTGGCTCTACTTGCATGTTGTCATTTCTTACTGTATTAAAAAACCAACACCACAAAACCAAATAAACTTCAGGGCATATTCCAGCAGCTCACTTCACAAGTTTACACGTGCTCTCCATTTTGGCGTATGTAGGTAGTGCAAGGGACACCGCTCCGCCCTGGTATGACAGTGATACGGACACCACTTCAGCAGTCAACGCTTGGAAAGACCATCATCCGAACACCTCTAGTGGTGCAACAAGGTATTCTTCCAGCCAGTAGGTTCACTTTAATATTTAAATTTCCAGTGTGAAATCCATGGTTTGTTTCTTCATAAATATTTTCTGTATCATATGTCCCAATGCAAAAATACCTCATTTTGATGCTTGATTTCTAACAGGTGCCTCTTCTGGCTTTTGAATGTGCTGGTTGTAGGCTTTGTCAGTGTTGTTCATCATTGACACTGGGAAATCTAGTACTTATTTTTGTAAGTCCATTCTTTTGAAAACAAACAAAAAGGTTTAGAATAATTGTGCATTGAGAAAGCTTGCACTTAAAAAAAAAAAAAGCTAAGTGTTTGAAGTACTCCGTAAGTATGTGGATTGAATTAAAATACAAAACATTTTGCAGATGTTTTTCAGTGAACCACACAGACAAATGGTTTGCAAGAAAAATTTATGTGCAAACGGCCGTGTTTGCTTCACTTGTCTGATTATACACTATTGCAAGTTGTGATTCAGAGGTTTGCTGTGCTAATGGTTAAAATGTTGGAAACATGTTTCTCAGCACAAATTACTCTCTTACAGGTCAGACACAGCAAGTGGTGACTCAAATAATCAGGGGTCAGCCTGTCTCAACAGCAGTTACTAGTACCAGCACAGCTTCTTCCAGTGCTGGACAGAAGACAGTCACAAGTCCTGGAACACCACCTCAGCAAATACAGCCACAAACCCCATCACAGCCCCCTCGCCCTCAGCAGGGACAAGTGAAGCTTACTATGGCCCAACTCACACAACTAACACAAGGACAGGTAAAAGATTTTACAGCCTCTGGGCAGGAAAATGTACTAATACTTATGATATATCTTAGCAAGAGTTTGGATTTCAGCAGTGTAATGTATCTGGTCATAAGTTTTATGTTTCAGCCTTCATTTAGGGTGACTGATAGTGTAATTACAGACTGAAAGAAGCTTAAATAGTACATGTAAAGTTTTAAATATCTCTTCCTGTTGTATTGCCCACTAATGAAAATAGCATCAGGAAAGTTTAGCAGTATGAAAAAAAGTCTTTGCATTAATAGCAGTAAGGGACATAATTATTTTGTATGGCCTATTTTGTAGACCCTCAGAACATTATGTTCGTTCCTTGTCTTTTGATTTTGTGCAAAGATTTAGTTTTCATTCATGTTATCCAGAGTCTCAGAGGAAAAATTACAGTATCTGGAACTGGAGGAGGAAAAAGTTCTCACAGCTTCTGCTCAGGTCATGAAGGTCTGTTGGCAAAATTTAAATTTAGAGTCAAGCACAGGATAAAAGTAGACTTCTGTGAGTTACCACAATACCTATTCTTCAAATTATAAATAATATATATAAATGATTGTAATGTACAGGCTGCTTGTTGCCAGATAAGATTTTTTTTTTTGTAAGTGGAACAAGAACCAGTTCATTTCCACACCAAAAGGCTCAGAAGGATTTTTGCAGGGACCTTATTCTGTTCTATGGCTTCACAAAATGCAGAGTTCTGCATCTAGGTGTTGGGACAATACCCTACCTGCTCGATCACAGAGTTGAGAGTGATGTCATGAGCTGCATAAGTATTAACTTAAGCCACAGAAATTCACAATACATTACAGACTGAACAATCAGTCATGAAGGCTCACAGTTGGGTAGGATCTGTTACACGGTTAGGAAATGTTTTCAGTGCAGAGAACTCTTACACAAACTGTTGGGATTCTTGAGAAAGTAATGAATAGTGCATCTAAAATTGTCCATGCTCTGTATTGCTTGTAAATTCTAGGAACAAAGATGTTCCATTGTAGCTGCTTTCTGGGTAGAGTTCTTGTCAATATTTGGATGAAAATATGCGTAACTACAGCCCAGTAATCTGTTGATGATAGAATTGTCGAAAGAGTATTTTAATATTTCATAATGCTAGTTTTCAATTTTAGGAATCTGGTATGTGGTAAAAGTATTGAATTCTGAAATCTAAAACCCTAATTCTTCTGACTTTCAGCAAAGTCTATCTAAGAAACATAGCACTAATACATCAATATTAACCTTTTTTTTTTTTAGGGTGGCAGTCAAGGATTAACTGTGGTAATTCAGGGACAAGGTCAAACTACTGGTCAATTACAATTAATCCCTCAGGGTGTGACTGTAATACCTGGTCCTGGACAACAGCTTATGCAAGCAGCTATGCCAAATGGTACAATTCAGAGATTTCTTTTCACCCCACTACCAGCAGCTGCTACTACAGCTAGCACAACTACAACAACAGTTTCTACTTCAACCTCAGGTAAGCATTGTTCTGTTCAGCAGAATAAAAGCTTCAATTTCCGTTGCAGGGAGTTTTTATGCAGTTGGAGATGGTCTGTTACCACAGTCAATTTGTTGGAAGTGTATTATAAGCTTAGAAATCTCTTGAATTTCTGCATAGAGCTTTACAGTAGTTCTGGAAAGGTTCAAATTGGTAAGGCTCATAGACGTGTCATCTGGAATGAATGGAATACTTGTTTTTATCCTTCACAGCTACAGGGGAACAGAAGCAAGCTGTACAGGCACAGCCAACATCAGTGCTGCCACCAGTTCAGCCACAGCCTCAGAGTCAGCAGCAAGCCCAGCCTCAAGTGCAGAATCAGAGTACTCAGCCTGCGCCGCTGGCCCAGCCGCAGGCACCTCAGCCAGCGCTTCAGCCTGAAACTCAGAGCCAGCCTGAATCTCAGACGCCGGCATCTGTTGACTCTCCAGTCACATCTGAAGCACAATCATCTAAATCTCCAGTTCAGTCTCCAGCACAGACCCAGGCTCAAGGGCAGTCTCCAGTGCAAGTCCAGAGTCAGCCGCAGACTGCAATCCTTCCACAAGGCCAGTCCCAAGTCCAGCCTCGGCAACCAGCTCAGGTGCAGACTACAACCCAACAACAGATTCAGATGCAGCCCCATGCTCCCATACAAATTCAAGCTCAGCTGCAGCAATCACAACCTCAGGTTCAGACTTCAGTCTCAACCCTTCCAACTACTCAAAGTTTAAATCAGGTTCCTGTGCAATCCCCAACTCGTCCTCAGCTGCAACTTCAGCAGCCTCCAACAAAAGTTATTACAGTGCCTCAGCTTCAGCAACAAGTCCAAGTTCTCTCTCAGCTTCAGTCACATGTTGTGGCTCAGATACAAGCCCAACAAGGCAGTGTGCCCCAGCAGATCAAGCTTCAGTTACCTATTCAGATCCAACAAACTAGCCCAGTACAGGCTCACCAGATTCAGAATGTGGTAACAGTTCAAGCAGCTAGTGTTCAGGAGCAGCTGCAGAGAGTTCAGCAGCTCAGGGAGCAGCAACAGAAGAAAAAGCAGCAACAGATAGAAATTAAACGTGAGCACACCCTTCAGGCTTCTAATCAAAGTGACATTATCCAGAAACAGGTAAAGTTAACAGAAGGAAATTAAAACTTAATTAATGAAACAAATCTCATTTTAAATGCCTGTTCTTGTTAACAATGTAAATACATTTGATAGGCAGTTAATTTGATTCTTTCAAAGTTAGTGCACGATTGCTTTTGGCAATTTAATTAAATATTCTAAGTTAATCCAGCACATCAAGTCAGTTGTACCATGTTTGCAGTCTTCTGGCACCTTGATTCGACTTACCACTAGCTGCTGGGACAGTATGTCTTTATTCTCAGTTCAGGAAAGATAGGTTACAGATAGGAGAGCTGATGTTCAGAACACATGTACAGTACTTTCATTGCCTGCTATAGGAAACTGAGGTTTCAAAGAGGTATCTGAAATGTAATGCTGTTGGATGGCTGCGGGGCTTAAAAAAAATAGACTCTTACCATTTTTTTTTTAAATAAAACAACCAGTCACTGAAGAAATACTGTCAATTTACATTTAGTCCCTAGGTTTAAACTCGACCTAAGCAAAATATCCTGTTCTGTGGGGGAGTGGAGGTGATATTAGTTTTCAATTTCATTTTCAATTTTCAAATAATTACTTTAAACAAGCACTTGCCCCCCTCAATAAAATCAGTTTTATTTTGTCACTTACTGAAATAAATAATGCTTTCTCTTTAACTTAGGAAATGTCCTGGTTCTCCCAGTAATACTATGAAATACTGGCTAAAGTTTTCATATTTTATTTTGGATTCTGTATCATCCTGCAGGTGGTTATGAAACAGAATGCTGTCATAGAACACTTGAAACAGAAGAAGACACTGACTCCAGCTGAGAGGGAAGAAAATCAGAGGTGAATATGCATCATAGTGCATCTTTAGTTGTGAAAGTTTTATGTTTATAACATCTTTTAATGGTGTTATAGTAAAACACTGGTTTGTAAAAACCTGCGTAAAGAAATTTTTCTATTTTAAAATTGGTTAAAGTAACACTCGAAAGTAACTTTCATAATATTCTTAACTTTAATTGAATCCTGTATATTTTCAATTTTATTTTGATTATATGTTTTTAAAGTGAAATGTTGTATTGCATGTGTCTGGAGCTTGCCACAGTTCTTAAATTCAAGGTAAAATCCATTCTTAAAGGAGCACAGAATGGAGAATTAATGGTTCTGCTGCAGAAAAGCCTGGGTTTTGTTTGTCCTTTATCATGGCAGTTTATTTCCATTCTTGTCCACTGTACATCCCACTCTACAGAAGGAAATGGAGAGTTGGAAGAAAGTTCTGTTCGACAAACTAGAGTTTATACTTGAAGCTGATAAACACAAATTTGGAGTGTTTGTCATTTGTCTTGGGGTTATTTTGGTGACTCCTCGCTCATGCAGTTGCTTCAATTGGATAATCACAAGTGTGTGTTGTCAGATAGTAAGAAAAAGAATAGGTTTTTTATAAAATTTTGATCATCAAATCGGAGTGCAAGCTTAGTTGATTACAACAGTATAACTAGGTGCTACTCAATGCTCACAGTTGCATAGAGAATAAGATGTATTGTCTTATACTCTTCATTTAATGGTGTCAGACAGCCAAATTGGTATGTAGACTGACAGAAGTCCAGTTTAATTTAAAAAAAAAAAAAAAAAAAAAAAAATTCTCACTAGCTTGATTCATGGTACAGCTGTCTTTCTTTCTCACTGATTTTCTTCTCCAAGAATGTACTTTGGGTATCTTACCTGGTGAAAAAACAGACTAAACCAAGTAGATATAGTGCAGATAAGAAAAGCAAAGTAAACAAAATTGTATGGCCCTACAAACCAGCTAGCATCTGGTAGTATGTCTGAGCCTAAGCGTACAGAGTTAGCAGCAGCTACTTGTCCCGGCCATTGCCATTTTGTTGTTTGCTTTCAGGTCAGAGTTATTTTTCATGGTCGCTCTGGCAACAAGAAGCACTTAGTTTTCTAGTGGATTTGAAATAGAATGAGAAGGGAAAAATAAATTCAGGAGAACCAAAATACATTAATTTCCTAATTGAAATATAAAGCAAAATAAATGAAAATTGCAGAACAAGAACAAGCAGGAAAAGAGATTTATAGTTGAGTGTACAACAAGCAGATAAAAAATTAATCCTGAGTTGTCATTAGTGAAGAAATGGGGAACTGTTTTATAGTGAATTCTATACACTGAAAAATATTTGTCAGTCCTTATGCCAACACAAAAACTTAGTAATATTTGGTGGTCACTGGAGGGTGGAAACATATGTTTTGGATGAAGTTACAGGCTTCCAACTTGCTTTCATCCTACATCAGAATAAACAAAATCCAGCTCTTTCAAACATGTTTGTGGAAACAATTGAGTGAAAATATCTCTCATCGTACTAAAGCCTAAGCTTTATTAGGAGTTTGTAGGGGAAGGGCAAGAATGATTGGTACTCAGATCAGTTAAAGGAAATTGGGACTGGCCCTCTTGAGCCTAAGTAGGGGCTTGATCTCTCCCAGTGGTGTTCTAGTAAATAAGTATGAGTGGGAGCGATGTGCGTTACATCTTAAGAAACGTAATAATTTAGCTGGCAACTTGCAGAGACTGGAGAATTAAATGATTCTGCATTCTCAGCCGGGGATAAATAGGCAACTCGGCACAATGTACTCTTCCTTTATTTCTTCCCCAGAATGATTGTGTGCAACCAAGTGATGAAATATATTCTGGATAAGATAGACAAAGAAGAAAAACAGGCAGCTAAGAAACGAAAGCGAGAAGAGAGTGTAGAACAGAAGCGTAGTAAACAGAATGCTACTAAGCTCTCAGCTCTGCTTTTCAAGCATAAAGAGCAGCTGAAAGCTGAAATATTGAAAAAAAGAGCACTTCTGGACAAAGATCTACAAATTGAAGTGCAGGTAAGGACAGTTATTCTCAAAGACTAATGTAATTTTAAGCTGAGGAGAGCATTTCTGTGTTAATCTTTAATTTATCTGTTTGCTCAGTGAGATTTTAAGGAAACATACAGGAAAGAAGTTCTGGTTGTGGACGCGTGGATCTCTGTGAAGCTAGTATATGTCTTTTTTATGCTTCTTGTTTTTATCTGGACTGAAATTACCTTGTTTCCTGAAACAGCTTCTGATAAATTACAGCCAATGGGTCACAGTAGGCCAAGTGTGTCATCTCTTATGTGAACTGTAGGTTAAGCATATTTAAAAAATTGCATATTTAAATGGCTTTAATTATTTCCTTTTGGTTAAGCATGGGGTTTTATGTCTAGATTTTAATCCTGTCCTGGAATAATCAGATGAGGTGCCTCCCTCTCTATTTATTCATTTAATATACTTCAGGAGGAGCTAAAGAAAGACTTGACTAAAATTAAGAAAGAAAAAGAAAAAGCCCAGGCAGCTGCTGCAGCAGCAGCAG